GGAGATCTAATGAAGTAGATTTTTCAACCTGTAATCACATCTTGAGTTTTTCTCCTCTTTAGTATCAGAGATTTATAATTTCAGGATTAACACACAATCACCATTGTGTAAAATTAAAAAAAAATACTATTTACTTCCATGCAATTAAATTTTAAATTTCCACTTGTTAGTGTATATGCCTCACCAAATCCTTTCAGCTATTTAGTATTTATTAAAGCTGAAGATCTCTTTTCCTTCTTTGGTATATACTATCAATATGTTGTTATTGTTGATTGCCATTGAGTCAAGCATGACTCATAGTGACCCTATGAATAAAAGAACTGAAGCCTTTCTATAACTATCGTTGTTTCTCAAAGTTCATCATTTTCAGAGGCTCAGGAAGTGGATGCCACTCCTGCTTCCAATATGGTACGTTACAAAAGGCCAGGACGGGCTAGCCGCAGTAGTATGCCTGATACTCCTGTGGCAGTGGCATAAGCAGAATGACATTTGAGCAAAACCTTGGGATCATTTCCGAGTGGGCAGCCTTTGAAAATGTATGCTCAAAGGAGGCAGTATGGATGAGAGCAAGACTGTTGGGTCAAATTTAGAACTGGCTGGCCTTACATTTGATATTTGGAAAACAAGAGACTCAGGGATAGTACTAAGCCAAATCTGACTTTTGTATTATCCATGGTTTTAGTTTTATTTTATTCAATTTTATAATGCAAAGTAGACATGTGGAAGTCTGGAAACTTTATAGATTTCTTTATGTTTCTCCATCATGGCCTTTCCTTTCACAAAATTCTGAAGTCTGTATTACATTGTATTCTAAAAATGACCTTTTTTTGCCATGTTAATCTCAAATGTGGTTTAATAATTGCTTTAAAATTACATAGAGTGTTGTTAACTGCAAAGATGATTAAAAATCTGTTTTCATGGGACCTGCATTGTTGTAAATGGAGCCTAGTTTCTTGTGATGCCTTGGTGACAAATATATCTAATAAGTTTGTCTAAAAATTTCTTTCCTGTGTCTCCAGTATTTATATCTAGCCTCGAGAACTCTGGTTACCTGGTTCATAGGGAGTTGTATTGCTAACCCCAAGACCAAGCTGGTTCAAATTCACCAGCTGTTCTGTGAGAGAAAGATGGACTATTTTCTCCTATTTTATTAAAGTCTTGCAAGACCACTGGATGGTCAGCTATAAGTTGGTTCCAACTTCATAGCAATGAGATGAGAGCAAATAATATGAAAGCATAGCAGCTCAGATTAGCTAAGACTTATTAAGCACACAGATTTCTATCTTTAGCTTTAGAAGCAACAGGTAACTTAAAACATTTGCACTCTTCATCTAGTCTCCTTATAACTGCTGTTAATAATTCTTGGACAAATCTTTTTGAGGGAGTTAACCCTTTAGTTAAAAGGGTTGTTGTTGTTGTGTACTGTCGAGTCACTTACGACTCATAGCGACCCAGCCCTAAACTCTGCTCTGTCCTGTGCCAATCGCACTGCCTCTGACACACCCACTCCGATTACCCCAGTCACTGAATCAATCCACCTCATAGAGGGTCTTCCCCTCCTGCGCCGTCCCTCCACCCTCCCAAGCATGATGTCCCTTTCCAAGGATGGGTCCCTCCTTGCAACATGTCCAAAGTATGGCAGACAAAGCCTCAAAATCCTTGCCTCCAAGGAGCCGCCCGGTTTGACCCTTTTCCAGGATGAATCTGTTTGTTTTCCTAGCAGTCCATGGTATTCTCAATACTCTTCTCCAGCACCACAGCTCAAAGGCATCAATTCTCCTTCTATCCTCCCTTGTCATTGTCCAACTCTCTGATGCATAAACTAAAGGGTACTACACAGAAAAAGGAGCTTTGAGTCAGGAAGGGGAGGGTGACAAGGTGTGCTACCTGCTCAGGGCTTCACAGCTGGTGTCCACAGTCTGACTTTTGTATTCCCAAGCAGGACTTTGAACTGGTTGTACCACTTCAACAAGGGTCAACAAAGCAAAACTGGAATAGACTAAAATTTTTTAAATTGGGTTATCTGAAATAACTGAAACAGGAAAATTTATGAGTGAAAGCTCTGAAATAGGAAACTTGGAAGAGGTATAGTGGGTCCTTCTAGGAATCTCGATGTGTGAGGTTAGATTATTGGTAGAACTGTGGAGAGCCACAAATTCAGAGGGCAGTGATCAGCCGCCATCTTTGAGCAGGGCACTGTTGATTCTGATTCTGCCAATCAAGATATTTGTTTTGTATGCAAAATGCAACTGGCCTTGTTTTCTTAGAGGGTGATTATGTTTCTATCAGGGCTTTGACCCATCATTTTTTCTCACCCCAATCATCATTACAGTTCATTCATATTTTTGAAATTTTAGTCTATTCTGTTTTGCTTCCTTGTTGTTGTTGTTGTTGTTATGTGCTGTCGAGTTGCTTGCGACTCATAGCGACCCTATGTA